TAGAAACCTATAGTTTCGTGGGCTATATTCGGACATACTAATTTTTGGCTAAAAATTGATAATCACTTCATTAATTTGGTTAGATTAGTAATTACCCCTAAATAAAAATATATTTTGTTGAAATAATGGATGTGTGGAATATATTTTAAACAAGTAAAAGGTGAATTTTGAAATACATTGTTAAGTAGAAGGGTGACAAATGAAAATTCCTATTATGTAAACAGTTTGTTTAAATTTAAAAATAAAATTTGACTGAATAAACATAATCAATCAAATCATGGTGCATTTAGACTTTTGTTCGTGTATATAGAATTACCCAAAAAGAATATCTATGCAAGATAGTAACGTCGAATCAATATTTTGTCATTCATATTGGAGTGAATAGGAAAAAGATTAAGGGCAACACTAGCAGATTCATGATAGACTAAAACATATATCTAGGCAATATAGGGAATAAATTTATTTATTTAATTATTAAATACAAAAAAGCAAAAAAGATAAAAATAAAAAAATAAAAAAATAAAAAAATAAAAAATCTACAAATTGTTAGTGTTTTGTATTATATTAATTATTTATAATTAGTTAGTTTAGATAAATATAAACATAAATAATAAATATATAAGTGATATCTTCATTTTCTGTTTTTTTTTTCTAAATATTAGAAAATCTATGGATAGAACAAGCAATTTTGTATTTACCGTAAAATCATAAAAGAAGCTATTGATGTGTAATTGTATTTATATATTTGCATTACTCATGATGATTTTTTTTAAATACAAAAAATACAAAAATACAAAATTACAAAAAATCAAAATAGATTAAAAAAGACACCAAAAAACAAATAAAAAATAATATAAAAAAGAAAAAAAATAAAAGCCAGAACACATAAAATATGACCATTTTTAATTATCCATACAATCATTGAGTCATACTTTATCCAAAACTAGTAAGGTGGTCCACATGGTGGCTCGTGTGTATTAGAGTATAAGGTGTTGGTAACTAGTTATAATATTATTTTTGTATCACATCACATGTCACATCAACAATGGTGTTATAACACTAAGTGGAGAAATGATCATCATGTTATATCTTGTTATAACACCAACTTTTTTCCACTTTATAATTTCTTTTTTATTTTTTTTTTCGAATTTCTTTTTTTTTTTAATTTAAAAAAATATATTTTAAATATAACATAATAAATAAAACATAATGTTTAAAAATTATAAATAACATAGAATAAAAAAAATAAAAAATAACATAGAAATTAAATTATACATAACATCCAAATTCAAATATATATATATATATATATATATATATATATATATATATATATATATATATATATATATATATAACACTATTCGTTAAAAAAAATCATTGTTTTAAAAAACTAAACGCTATTCGTTCTCATAGAAGATATAATCCGTCAAGTCCTCTCGAAATTATCTGTGTTTATTTGTGTTCTAAATGTCAACAACTCGATGCAAATACTCTGTTGTTCCTGGTTGAAACTGAACGTGTCTGGGCTCTGTTGGGATATAGTGTGTAATATTTCTCTCTTTATCTTCTACTACCATGCTATGCATTATGATACATTCATACATGATATATCGTAGAGTTTCTAAATCCAATGGTCGTGTTGCATGTTCAATTATATATCACTTCGTCTTCAGCACTCCAAAAGCACGTCTCACATCCTTACGTGCTCCTTCTTGTCTTCTCTTAAAAAAATTGTCTTGTTCTTCAACCGAGTGGCGGAATGTCTTCACGAATGTGGAATACTGAGGATATATTTCATCTGTAAGGTAATACCCATATTTTTATTCGTTTCCATTCACCGTGAAAGGAGCATCCGTGGCCTTTCCATTCAAAAGATCGTCGAATATTGGCGACAGATCAAGAACGTTGACGTCGTCGTTGGAACCCACAACCCCAAAAAATGCATGTCAAATGCATAAATCTTGAGAAGCAACAGCCTCTAAAACCAACGAAAGTGATCCGTGATGACCACTTGTGTAATGCCCTTTCCATGCTACCGGACAATTTTTCCATTTCCAGTGTGTGCAATCAATAGCTCCGATCATTCCGGGAAACCCATGGCGTACTTCATGCATCGCATACAATTCTTGAAAATCATGCAATGAAGGTTTCCGCAAATACACATCTCCAAATGTTTCAACAACACCCCTTGAGAATCTATACAAACTCTCCCTTACAATTCTTTCGGACATTCTCATATAGTCATCCATGGTGTCGGGTGACTCCCCCGTAGCCATCAAAAGAATAGTCGCAACACATTTATGTAACGTTGTAAACCCTCGTCTACCTCTAGCATCATATCTCAATTGAAAAAAATTCATATCTAAACATAAATTAACTACAGTTTAAAAATATATTGCATATGGTAAAATTAAAGAAACTTGTACTAGATTTTTATTTATTTTGTATAAAAGTATAGTGATGTAGCGATATCGGGTTTCCAAGGCGTTGGTGATCCGTAGGAACACATTCCTACTCAAACGAAATCTTCTTTTGAAGTCCTTAGACCCGTATACACAATTATCCACAAAGTAATCGCGATATAGATGCTCGTGTCCTTCCTCGTGATTTCTGTTTAACATCGCACATCTTGTTATTAGCGGAGCTGAGTCTGATTGTAGTAGCCCATTGGTATAATACTGATACATCATCCTAAAGAATATATCGTTATCAGAATCATCGGATGAGTCGAAAGGATCCATAATTTTTTTTTGAAGATAATTGAGATTATTTATATAGGGAAAGAGATAAGTTATGTGTAAAAAAAATTGTTTAGATATAATAGTTATTTATATAGGAAAAGAATTAATTTTAAAGTTTTTTTTATTAAATTAATCATATTCAAACGGCTTGAATTCATAACGGTCGTTTTTTTCTCGTTTCATCTAGTGAAGACGACAACAAGAAACGCTGCAACGAAACTAGAGGGGGGGGGGGGGGGGAGAGTGTTCATCCCGTTGTGACGCCGTTATTCCCTTCCACGTCGGCAATAACGAGATGCAAATGCCCCACACCATATGCTCTTAATCATATATTTCCACACAGTTTTTTGGATGTTCTCGTAGGATACATTTCTATAAATCTGTTATTAGAGAGTGACCATTCTCTCTAGTTTTCTGAAACGTATGAACAAATAAGTAACATTTCTATAAGTTTGTTAAACATAGGAACTATTTCTGTAACTTTGTTATTAGAAAGGACCATTTATGTAAACAAAAATAAAACAATAAAAAATAAATAAATAGAAACATAGGATTTTTCCTGTATAAATAATTCTATACGGGTACTTATTCTGTAATTTTCTATTAAAATATGGACTATTCTTTAAGTCAGAGGGAATAATTTTGTATATAGAGTTGACATTTGGAGCAAACTTCTTTTTATAAATCAAAAGCTCAAATAACTCCAACCGAAGAAAGGAAAAATGACTCTTGAGGGTAATTAACTTTTGCGTTTGTACTCATTTGGTTTCTTTTTTTTTTAATTCAATATACCATCGAACTTGTTGTTTGCGTTCACCATAACTCTTTTGACCCGTGATAGCTGGTTAAAGGGTTATGATGAACACAAAGAACAAGTTCGATGGTATATTGACTACAAAAAAAAAAAAAAAAAAAAAAAAAAAAAAAAAAGGAAAGGGACCAAATGAGAACGAACTCAACAGTTGGTTACCCTCCTAAGTCATTTTCTCCGAAAATTTAAATGAAATTAAAGTTGCAAAATTATCAAAGATTGCAACTTCTTTGGCTATAGCGTATATGAAGAGCGTTTCAAATGGGTAACCTTGTTAAAACATGGTCTATCTTATGCTTATTGTGGTTAGTTGTCAACACCTCTCTGCAAAAGGATATGACTATGTATGAGAGGTATATTTATCAGCATAAACGTTTATCTCAAGGTATATTATGATGATGTATCTACAAAAGCAGCATGATATTGTACATATTGATGTTGTATCTTATCCCATGAATTCAATCTTACAGCTAAGTAAACTAAAAAATCACATCACTTGCGATTCCACTCGTTTGTAGACTTGTTTAGAATCCATAATACGATAAATCATTTGATTGAAAATGTAAATGTAATCATGAAATACGTCTGCTTAGTTAAGATTTCCCTAATAAATATTCAAGTGCATTACAAAGTTATACATATATGAATAATGTTCCTTCGTGGACATAGGATTTGCTGTAAATGAGTAAAAGGAAAATGAATTAGGAGGGTAACCAACTGTTGTATTTATTCTCATTTGGTCCTTTTTTTTGTACTCAATATACCATCGAACTTGTTGTTTGTGTTCAACATAACCCTTTGACCGGCTATCATAGGTCAAAAGCCGACCAAAAGGGTTTTGGTGAACGCAAACAAAAAATTCGATGGTATATTGAATACAAAAAAATAAATAAATAAATAAATAATAAAAAAATGGACCAAATAAATACAAACGCAAAAGTTAATCACCCTCAAGAGTCATTTTCCCCCGAAGAAAAAACGAAACTCATAGTTGTAGTCATCCTCCTTAATAAATAAAGGTTTTTTGTCACTTGTCAATCTCTCATGAGTTTTGATACTTGTTATTTTATGGTAATTTTGAAATAAATATTATCCACTTGTTAATTTTTGGTTTGTTTTAATTTTTAATTAAAACCATATACTTATATATGTAAAGTATTATATATATATATATATATATATATATATATATATATATATATATATATATATATATATATATATAAATTCTAATAAATACGTTTCTTTCTTTCTTATTTTAAAGTTGTACATTAAAAATTATTTTATTTTTATACTTTAAATTTAATCATTTTTTAAATCAACCCGTATAATATACGGGTCTCACACCTAGTATAGCAATATAATCTAACTATGAGTCAACTTAAATGTCAAACTAATAAAGTTATATAAAAGAAGTCGTATCATATCAAGAACAAGTAAATTTGATGACATGAACACAAATTTTCCAAATAACAAAAAAAAAAAAAAAACAAATTACATCTCTTGCTTCCACTACTTCAATGGTGCCCTTTTTTAAAACCGGAGAAAAATCCACTATTCGATTTCCCCTTTTGCCCCTCTCCCGCATTCCCAACCTATCCACGTCATCACATTACTTAAATCTTAAACCATTAAAAAAAAAAATTCAAAATTCAAAATTCATACCTCTTTTGCTAATTGCTTTAGTTTGTCTAAAATTTGGGTGAAGTTGGGTCTCAACGACGGGTTTTGTTGCCAACAACTCTCGAGTAACTCTTTAAGCTTTGGATGTGTCTCCTTAGGGATTGTCGGCCGCAAACCCTGGTGAACAAAATCTAAAATTACCATTTTGCCCAACAGTACACTCACTAATCTTACTCAACAAGATATTAACCCTGAGGGGTTTTTCGACATTTGAAAAAACAAAAACGTGATTGAAATTTCAATACCTGTTGTACTACACCAACTGCTGCTTGTAACGGGGTTAAGTACGAGTAGGGAACCTGTAGAAACACAGCTCATGTGAAGACTGAAGAGTAGAAATCTAATAGGAGTAAAAAAATTACATTTCCGGTCCCTAAACATAACCGATTTTTCCAAATTTAGTCCCAAAAAAGTAGAGACTTACTTCGCCTGTTAAAAGCTCCCATAGAACTATCCCGAAACTGAACACGTCAGCTTTATGATCATACGGTTTGTGCTCAATAACCTTCAATTCATAACGACTGTTACTAAAACACGCCCACAAGAACCCATCAAAAATATAAAAAATATTTCCATATTATATTATATTATAAAATAAAATGGGTATTTTTGTCATTTCCAAACATCAAAATTTACCTCTGGTGCCATCCAACGGTACGTGCCAGTTTCCGCAGTCATTACTCCAGATTGCGTCTGAACCCTGGCCACCCCAAAATCAGCAACCTTAACAACCTGTGTAAGGAAACATGGGTATTTTCGTAATTTTAGTCTTGTAAATAATAAAGGGGGGGTATTTAGGTAATATTTCTTACTTCGTGTTCATCCATAAGAAGGTTTGCGGTTTTTAAGTCTCGGTGGATGATGTTATTTTGGTGGAGGTAGGTCATGCCTTTGGATATATCGATTGATATTTTGAGTAATAAAGGAAGCTTAAAAGAACCACTTTGCTTGTGGAGAAAGTTATATATGCTTCCACGTGCCATGAACTCTGATATCACAAAAACAAAAATTAGCATTTAGAATATAAAATTTATTATTTTTTTTTTTTAAATTAATCATGTTACCAGTTACAATGCATAGTTTTGTAGGCTCTGTACATGCTCCGATAAATTGAACAACATTTTTGTGTCTAATTTTCCTGCAACTCAAAAGGGTATTTACGAAAATCTATATAAGTTATAGTAACTAGAATATTCTTTTTGGAATATAAAATATAAATACAAACCTCATAATAAAAACTTCTTGGGAGAATTCTCTTAGCATATCAGCATCGATTCTTTCTGGTTTAAGAACTTTAATAGCAACTTCCTGACTACAATATGTGCCTTTATATCTGAATAAATAACAGATGTGTTTTAAAAGATGTGAAATTATTTGTAAGTTTATAAAAAAAGGGTGTAAAGTTGAAATACTTACAGGTCACCAAAAGTACCAGATGCAACTTTATTTTCAAATTTTAACAGACTTGCATCGATTTCCCATACATCAGTTCCATCAGTGGGTATTTTGACATGATCATTTGAAGGGATGGAGTTACTTGGAGAAGGGGTAGATTTGGAAATAGTGGATGGAGAAGGTTTTTCAGGATATGATTCCCCCTGTAGAAAAGTTTAATTTTTATAAGAGAAAACTCTGATCAAATAAAGATGTGATAATAAAAACTACCTTAGCCTTCATTATTTCCCTTGCTATTGCAGTTCTTAGCTGTGTAGTTTCCTAGAAATATCCAAAATCAATCAGTATAAATGCTTTGGGTTCAGACGAAAAGGGTAAAATGGTCATTTACCAATACCAAGACCATACATACCTCATGAGGCCAACCATCTACAACAAAGACATCCAAGGAGAAGCCATCAGCAGTGGAGAAAGCATGTGCTTCTTGAATATTCAATCCAGCCTCAGAAAGTAAAGAAGTCAACTGTAGAAATAATAAATATGTAATTTAATCTAAATTTCTTATTGTAAGAAAAAAAAAATAGTCAAGATTGTTATAGCAGTAATCATAAATCATGCAATCATGAAACAACTAGATAGTAGCTACTCATTGTTTAGGTGTACAATATGTCAATACATAACCTTGAAGCTAAAACCACTCAAAGTCAAAGTCAAAGTCAACAAGAATATCAAAGACCTACATAGAATTGTTGACGTACGAGTCAAAGTCAAACCCACCATCTGCAAACTGAATGCTCCATGCCTTGTTAAAAGACAAGGGTCAGATTTTGATGAAGATTGAAGATACAAAAAATTTGTAATTTGAGTAGCTTTTTTGCATGCAAATATGATAACATGTTCCACTTTTTGCATAAAAATTGTCAAGATGCTCTGTTGATTTCTGTTACATGAGAAAATATCTCCAATTCTTCCATAATCCATATGCCTCTAATAGTTTAATTTTTCTGTCTGTTTGTTTTTGTATTGACCAACTATATATAGAAATAGAACCATATGTACACTTTCACTTTATAATTGGACTTAGAAATTAGAATAAGCTAAATAGTAAATATGCATCAAGCCAAGGGCAAAAGGTGGAATTTTTATTACCTGACTTAGGAGCTTTGGTCTGTCTATTGTTGAAAATGTGATCTCATGCATAGGCCTGCACTATCCCAGTTTAAAAGGTACATTTAGTTAAAAGATTGTGTACAAAAGCTAATAAGTAATTGGAAAACTGAAAAGTCAGTTAATTAAATCACTTTGGGAATAAAAATCATCTTGAATAAAAGAATACAAGCCAGCAAGAAGAGGAAGGTGAAAATGTGAAATGACTTTTTAGTGGAATAGGATGTCATAGGGAAGGACATATCAGTAAATTTACACCATTTTTAACTATAAATTATAAGTTAAAATGTATTACCTAGAAAACACTGAAGTTGAATTTACATCATTGTCTGCATAAGTTTCCTGATGTCTAGTGGCTTTAAGTGCAAGCCCTTCAAGGTTCTGTGCTGAACCAAAAGATGGGGGGTGCACTCTAAGGAATGGATTGAAGAGGTAGAAAAGAAAATTAAATCAGAAAATAAAGATAATTGACATTTATCTTTTCTGAAATCAAACAACATTCAAACTATCAGCATGTAACAAGAGTCACGGATATAAAGATGATAATCATGCATGAAAAGAATAAGCAGAAAATAACACATATAAATGTTTTATGTAATGTCAATACCCGTTTCTGCTGCTGTAAGGTGAAGGACTCTGAGCATCTTCTTTCATTGAGGGTTCCATATTGTCCAAATCAGGTGTGTTCCCATCTGAGGCAGGATGAACCTATATAAGATATTCCTTGCATAAGAGAGAAGTGACATCAAGAGATAATCAAGAAAGCAATCTGCAGATTTTCAAGAAATGGCCGGATAATCTTTATGTGTTCCTTCAACACATTCATATCCACAGAGAATCAAAGGACATTAATTACTAGCAGATGTCATTCTCAGAAGTCAGATCTCTAGGCAACTGAAGGTCAAAACTCTATTAAAATCAATAGATTTCCACAGTAACTTATAAAATCCCCAAGCCAACAACCATTGGAAAGCCACAGTTGATGATGCCAACCAATGGAATATGCAGTGAAATGAAATTATACAAATCGAGAGAAAAAAAAAAGTAACTTTTCAGTTAAATTTCTACCTGCACTAAGCGGACTTCAAATGCAGGTCTATTAGCAGGATTTTCCGCCATCTGTAAAACCCTCTTATGCGTGATCACATCTTCCGCTCTCTCTACGTTCACATCCAGAGCATATCTGTCCATCAGCAAAAGGAATACTCTTATAAAAACCAGACACATCACATACACGAAAAGATGTCGAAAACTGATTCCGTTAACCTTCGATACGCATTCAATTATCATATGAATAAACACGTACAGACATACAGAGCTCAACAAACCTCTGTCCATAGCTCTCAAGAGAAGTAGACCATGACTAATCATCTCAATTCGAACAAAGTAAAAAAAAAAAAAACAAAGCAATTTAAACGGTCACAAAAAGTTTACATAAATTACCTCGGAGGAAGGCGATTAAAGTGAATCCAAAGCTGGTCTTCGAAATCAGGTAGTTCGGTATCCTCATGATTCATATCGTACAATCGATTGAGGACATCGTTATAAACCTCAAGTTTCTGGCGTCGTTGTCGACTCTTTTTAGGCGATTCCACAGCCCTACTACCACAGCTTTCATTGTCTTCCATGGCCATCGAGGATCAGATTGGAGGTGTAGGAATCAGAATTTGGCGGTGATAGAGATCGATCTGCGGGTATGAAG